CTGGGGGCGGAACAACCTCTCTGACGAGATGACGTCTTCAGGGGTGCTCGAGAGGCGTCAGACGGTACTGCCCTAGCAGCAGACGGCACCGCCCCCAGCTCTTGGGGTGGTCAGGCCGCATAGTCGCACCATTGGAGCTTAACATGGCATGCACCCCGCGGTTCTGGAGGCGTACGGTATTACGTCGGTCTGTAACATCTGTTGGTGGTTCACATAGGGCCAAAATACATCCTATCAGATGATGTATTCAAGTCAATTTCCAGCTTAAGCTAAATATCCAGCAGTCTGTGTACTGAGGAAACTGGTTGCCCCACTCAATTCTCAAAGGCCATCTCTTCTTTCACTCAAGTAGAACAAATTTAGTAGTATTTTCTATTTTTTATTATATAATTCTATTATATCTATTATTTTAAGAACTTCTTGATAGCAAACTCTAGTGCATTAAGTTTTATTATTTTAGATTTATTGTACAACTCATCGTGCCTATTTATAGACATATAAACTTCAATCGATTTAGATATTGATAGGGCATATTTCGATATCGCCTACGTGGACCTTGACAAAGCAAACACGATAATGTAGACGTAAAACTTCAAGTTTGATGTGGTACACAACACACATGTGGTAGGCAATCGCTCGCTGCCCTCTCCATACGAATAACATCATCACGGTACAATCGTCCTGGAAAGCTTAGGGTAGCATCACGCGATGTCGATCTGTGTAGGTCAGTCAGCGCTCGCGTAGAAGCTTAAGTCGGTCGTAGTTAATTGTGTAGGGAATTCTTGGGGGTGACATAACATGTGCTGCGGAAGAATAGAAAAATAAAAACCCCAAATTTCTAAATGATGTGTTCGTTGTCGTACGAAGATTGGTGCTTAAAATCGATATATATAAAAGATTGTGTTACCTAGGGAGATCATATATCCTTGAATCCTTGCAGATCTATAGGAGAGGGTGAAGGAGATCAAGTGTCCTCCTCTCTAGCGGTAATCTACATAGTAGGGTTGCGATGATGCTTCTCAAATCTCTAGGCCTGCTATTTGAGGAGGAGAAGGGGAGAGGAGAATAAGAGGTGGCAATTAAAAGAAGCTCTAGCCTATGAACCTTTGGTTCCCTCCTATTTGTAGATGCCCCATATCAACTTAACCCTAATGGATCCTACCCTATTGGGTACTGGATCTCCATCCAACTAACCTAAGCCTCTTAGATTAGTGGATCTCTATCCAATAATCTCTAATTGGCTCTTATTGGATCTCATCCATAGGATCCAATAATTCAAGGGCTTATTGGATATCCAATAAGATAGGAGCTCCGACAGATATCTCATATCTAAACCTCTAATCGTCACAATGCCTACCATATGTGTGTGACCCTCTAGACCCAATATCAAGCTGACCGTGAGTCATACCTGTCAGAACTCCTTTTGGCTCAGTGAATTATTATCTCCATAATAATTCACTTGACTCATTAACTATGGATATACTAGGCCACTACGTCATAGTCTCCAAACGATAAAGGGGAATACAATCCATTAGACATATCTATCTTTAGTTACCATGTATATATAGTCCCTCATCCATCTAATACCCGAGAGACTATATACCGAGTATGGTATTGTTAGGCCAATACATTTTTTACTCGAGTCTCACAATAATCGAATTCTCCCGAAGAACTCTTTCTCTCTCAATCAAAATGACTTTGGCCAAGAATTTGTCTGAGTAAGAACATATGAGATATTTCTCTCATGACACAAAGAGTGGATGATCCTCTATCTACACTCAATATTCCTCTTAAGGTTGGCTGTCACTCCCGATGACTGGTTATGCTAGATATGAAATCTCCAAACCTATAAGTCTAGTATCAAAGAGTGGAGTACTCATACAGGACATCCTTGGTGTTTTAAGTCTAAGGATCAAATACACCACTAGGACTACGAAATCGCTATCTGATAATAAGACATCATCAACCATCTAGTATTATGTGAGCGGATCAATGAGTGAATTCATTCTTCAATGAGCACCGGTACTATAGCCCTAGTGTTCCCACATAAGCAACTATGAGATCAACCGCCTCCATCATATGTATGTATATACAGTACATAATCTGTTCGATTATCTTGATATCCCTCTCGAGTAACTTATGACCGGGATTATTTAGGGTTTGTGTTTAAAGGTGAATCGGTCTCATTATCATGATCTTATCATGATCTGATTTTCATTGCATAGATCCATGGATATCACAATATATTTATACAACAAATAATATAAAGTGATAAAATATCAATATATAATAAGCAAAAAGAGTATGTGTTATATCACACATGCCATTACTTACGTGATTGACTTGTAGGGCACCTATGACTAGTAAATTGACCATGTACGACCAACTCATCCTCGTATGTATAAAAGCTAACCCTCCTTAATCAGGAGGGGGAGGACTTTCATATATTCAACTCACTCTTATTCCATACAACGCTAACTTAAGCTTTGAAGGGATCGAGTCGGGAAATCTCCCTTTCGATCTCGACCTGTATGCAAGGGCTGATGACGAAGAAGCAAGCAACAAGACTCATAGCTCAACCCGACCCGATGCGCACTACCGTTGCCCGAGTCTCCACGTGGGCGACTTTTCACATCAGGGATCGGATTGAGCCATGCTGACTTCTCGGCCACTACGTAGAGGCTCACCAACAAATACGATGTCTTCCCATCTTCTGCAAAATTTTACAACCTTATCTTATCAAATATCTCATCTTATTTACTCTATATAATCTTGATTAAACTATTGAAGAAGGATACAGCTTAGTTTTTTAACGTATAAGAGTAGCTCAAAATGCATTATAAACTCTCTACAATGTTTTATCTCTGCACTTGTTTTAGGTTACATAACAAACCTTGATTTCTACTTCAATGTTTTACTTCTATTTCATCACTATACTTGTCTTTTAAGACTAATAATACTCTGATACATAGTGGCAAGGATACATAAAACTCTTAGTCTCTTAGGAGCTAATGGGGAGGTTGGGTAGAGGATTGACAAAGCTCACAAAGCTATAAGTAGGGCATTAATGAGCATTGCCATGGGTTTCATGGCATCCGTGACCACCACTGCTGTGTCTTGTCAGTTCTTCAAGATCATGTCTGACAACTGCAACTTCCCTTGGGGAGCATTTATTGCACGGCTATCTATTAGCATCAGTTGCAGCCACGAAGAATACAATGGAAGATGGATTTTATTTGGATGTTCAACTAAACAAAAAAACAAAAAAAAATTCAAGTCTGTGATTGTATTGAGTTAATACAGACTTAATTGTATTACTTCCGGGAAATCAGATGAATTTACACTAATCTTTTTAGGAATAAAATAGATTATGTGACTTATGAGAGTAGAATATGGTTTTTATTTTTTTAGTAATATCAAATACGATAGATTTCTTTAGCAATACGAACACATGTCGGATATTTATGATATGTATATGATCAAAATTAAAGGCTGAGATAAGATCGACTTAATACGAGAAACAAAGGTGTAATTAACACCAGATCATTATATCAAACCGTAATGTCAAATGTGCATATCGAATATATGGTCGATCTTTTAGCTCAACGAATCATGTAACACTATCAAAATAATAATTATAGGTGATAGACAAAAACTATCACTATAATGCCAACATTTGTAATTGTAAGATTTAGTGACGAAACGATCCGTCAACATCCTCGATTGCCTTAGATCTCATGGTTAAAAATTTTACCAATAAAAAATATTAAATTATTATTTTTATAATAAGAAAATATCAAATTCAAGTTGGCCAGGTTGATTAACAGGCTAGTTTTGAGATTCTATATATTAGTTAAATTTGATTATCGATACGGTGATATGATTTCCAAGTCGGATGTTTTACACCACTAAAAACGTATCAATCTGATATTATTATTTTCTTTAATTCATGATTTTTTATTCATAAAGGCTTGATATACATCTATTCAAGTAAAACTATGGGCATTAGAAATAAGACTCAAAATTTAAAAAAAAATTAGCGCAGGTTTTAGTGGGAAGATAACATTTAATCATGTAATAGATTTGGATGAACTCAATCAAATTTTTAGGTTTAGGGTTATTCAAATCGAACCAAAAAAGCTAATTCGATTTGAACTGATTTATCAATAGTATGATTTTGATTGTTTTGGTTCAGGACACTATTCTTTGATTCGATTAACCATTTAAGATTAATCGAATCAATTTTAATTTAAAAAATTAATATGATCAAATTTATTATTAAATTAAAAAATTCTTCTGGGCATTTGGATTTCACAAACTAGTGATCAAATTGGGCATACAATAACAAGGCTAGCTCAATTTTCAATGTCATAATTTTAATTGATATTGATCTAATTTCACAAATTTTATTGATCCAATTAGACTAAGATTCTCGTTCGATTCAATTGAACTGAATCAATTCATTTAAAAATATATATTTTAAAATTATTTAAAATTAAAAGCTTATTAATTGATTAATTGAACCAAATTAATTGGTTTTGAATTGGTTCAATTAGATAGGTTCTAATTAAATCAATTACTTTAACTGAATCGCAGTTTGACTCGATTTCACCCTTAACAATTTGATTCAAATTGATTTGAATATCCCACGCTTAGATTATTGGTTCACAAGTTGGGCATTGAACCATCTATTTTCATTATATTTAAATAAAACATATAAAAAGATTAAAAAAATATATGTTTGTAAAAATATTAAAAATATAAAGTTATGATTGTGAAATGCCTTTTCATTATATAATAAATTAAAAATAACTATGTTTGATTGCATTGAGAGACGAACATGAAAAAGCCATTCATTGAAAGTCTACGGACAAGCACAGCCCTCACACCCCACAACCCATCATCCGCTTTCTATCCCCATTACCATCACATTACTATCTAAAAGCACTTCACAAGTTACGGCCCCTCCCCTTGTACCTACCATTCAAGCCCAAAGCATCTCATTTCTTTATCAATACTTTCTTAAAACAAAAAATGAAAACTATTATAATAATTACTTTTACTACTATTCCTTTTTTATGATTTTGTTGCGGTGTGCGATCCTGTCACCTGCCAGTGGAGTTTTTCCACGTCGCACTGGGTGGTTGCGGGATCTCAACTCTCGTCTTCTCCTTCGCCCCAGCTGTCGCGTTCAAGGGAGTTCGGTCGCTGACGGCGGCGGGTCGAGAAGGTTGAGGTTGAGGTTGAGGGGGAAGAAGGCGCGAAGACGAGGTTCCAGGCCTCGGCGAAGGCGCGGAGGATGAGGTGGTGGTGGCCCGGGGCGTTGAGAGCAAGGAAGCGGTGGAGGAGGTTACCGAGGTCCTCCCACTCGTAGATCTCCATCTCCACGATCATCTGCAGCATCGAGTTCCGGAAGTCCATGCACGGATCCAACGACTCCTTGACCACTGCTACACTCCCCTCCACCACCCTCTTCCTCCCCGCCGTCGCAGCCGCGCGCTTGTTCCTCTTCTTCTTGTTTGTCCTTCGCTGTCCCCTAGCAGTCGTCTTCTTCAAGATCTCCGGCTGGTCGATCGCGAGCGACGGAGAGGAGGTGCAGTCGCCGTAGCGGGAGGGAGAGGAGGAGGAGGAGGAGCTCACGGCGGCAGCAGTGGTGTTAGTGGTTACGGTAATGCTGGTTTCCCATGATGAAGTGGTGGTGGAAGAGTAGGGGAGGCAAGGGCTCTTCGGTGGCTTGGCGGTTTTCTGCGAGGAGGAGAACAAAAATGGGAGCTTTGGCCGCCGGCAGCTGCACCCGACGTCGACCACCACAGGTTGCCGCATCACTAACATTCTCGGCCGGGAAGACATTGGGAACGCAGAAAGCTCAGGTCTTTGTGTGCAGAAGGAAGTTTCAGCAATGGCGGAAACTCAAAAAAGTTTCCTTTTTGCTCGAGAGAACAAAGAGAAGGAAACCGGAACACATAGTCATTCTCTTGGCTATTGAAGCAGCGAAAGTAGCTGAAGAGCTACACTTCGGATTTTGGTGAAGTGGAGGAAAGATGTTGATGAGAGAGAGAGAGAGAGAGAGAGAGAGAGAGAGAGAGAGAGAGAGAGAGAGAGAGAGAGAGAGATGATGCTGATGATGGAGGGATGGAGAGAAGAGGTTTAGGGAGAGAAAGAGAGATAAACGAGAGCTATTACAGAAGGGATGGTGAGAATGGGAGTTGGAGGAAGATGAAGGAAAAGGATGTTAGTTGGGGAGGGTCTTTTTATCACATTTGCCTCTCTGTATTGTCATTTGCTTTAGGATGAAGAAGGCTCAGCCTTCAACAAGACGAGTGGAGGAAGGATCCATGAAGGCAAAGAGGGTTAACATCATATGTTCATGTGATGTGATATTATTATCAGGAATTGAATGCAAAATTTGAATCTTGGGATCATGCCTGCAGAAGCCTCTACTGTGATGGGGATGGTTTCTGAACTCAAATGAAGTGTCTGTATCTTCATCACATGCAGAGTTCATGCAGCAACAACAAGGTCTGTTGTTGAGTATATTGTGATCTGAGATCAAGTACATCTTATCAGTGAAGTAGATGGATGAACCTACTTCAAGTGCAAGTGGGGTTCTCTGCAATATTTTAGCGATGCAGTCAAAATAATCCAGCTATAGTCCTGGAACTTAAAACTCTCTCTCTCTCTCTCTCTCTCTCTCTCTCTCGCCCTCGTTTATTTCTCTGCTTGCTTTTTGATTCCATTCAAATTGAATCAGAAGGAGAACAGATGAAAAGTTTCACAAACATGGAAGGCCCAGTAAAGTTTTCACGACATAGTCGCAGTGTCTCGGCAGAGAAAATAAATCATAAAATGATAATAAATGCTCTAAATTGAGACAATAACTCCTTAAACAGATATAGCAGTCCAAATTTGCATTTACTACAATGGGTTACATGCAATATAAATATCTATCTTTTCAAAGTATGGAAACACCATATTTATCTTTTTAAATTTTAATATCATGTGTTGTGGGAAACAACTTTGAGCCGAGGCTTCGGGGTCGACGCTGCTCGGTTCAGGTCCGGATGACGGGGGATCTTCCTGAGACGGCCTTCGAGTCCGCCGAGGTGATCCGATGCGGTGGTTGGGACAGGGTCGTCGTTTCCTCTGGGCAGGAACTCCTCGCCTTCGCGTCTGACGGTGGGGACCTTCAGCTTCGGACCTGCACAAAGGTTGGGTCGGGGTGCTCAACCGGATCCCTCCGACGATCAAGTCAGTTGATAGTGGTTAGGGGGTGTTTTTTCTCCTCCCCTCTCTTGATGAGCGAGAGGGTATTTATAGGGAAGCTTACTGCTTCCTGAGCTGCCCGCTTGCAAGGGGTAGGCTGGTAGCGTTTGACACTAGTGTTGGCGTGGCGTGAAGGATTGAGCCTGAGCAAGCGTTAATGCGCCTCAGCCGACGTTCTGGTCTGTTTGATCAGGTGTTGTTGCGTCGATCGAGGCATGAGGCATCATCTGATGTCAACCGAGTCTTATCATAGTTATTATCCTCATCATCATGTATCTCAGTCCGAAAAATTTATTGGCGAATTTTTGAAAAAACTCATCTATTTCAACATTTATCATGAAATGCTTATGAATTCTCTAATAGTACATATGTTTTGTTAAATACTTAAAATATCCTTGATTTAACAGTTAACCATCTAGCTTCTTTTTCTATTTAGCATAACACTCCTCTGTATCTCTATTTAATTTTTTTATTATTCTATCCATGCCTAATTAACTTATACGTTAACATTATTTCTTTGGAATTGAATTTTATTTTTTACTTTTATTTTTATTTTAATTATAAAAAATACCTCTTTCATATTTTAATTTTCTTTTTTACTTTATAAGAGTTTATAACTAAATTCAAGTTTGATATTTTCATTGTTTTTAATAATTTAATTATATTTTTATACTAAACTGAGAGATGTTATTTATCGTTTTAGAAAGACCACTTCATGATTATATTGACTTAAATTTAGCAGAAGGGTTTGTTAAGAACGAGTCGATACTAAGAGAGAGGGGGGGGGGGTGAATCAGTCCAGCGGTAAAAATCACATCGGTTCTAAAAATCTCTTCGTTTCGTATGATAAAAATCGATTTCGGAAACTTGAAAGCATATGCGAGTATAGGCATAGTAAAAGAATAGTAAGAAGGTAAGAAGGTTTGCAGTAAGATAAATTACACAAAAGAAAAGGTAAATCGGATTTGTATAGTAGTTCGGTCGTCGTAACCTACATCCACTCCATCGATTCCTCTTCCGTTGAGACCATCGGCATCCACTATCGATCTTCCTTTAATAGGCGAAGATCAACCTCCTTCTGACACCCCTCTTCTCCTTTTTACAGGTTTAGGAGACAACTTTTACAAGCATACACTCTTCTCTAAACAAAATTCTAAGTTTAAGCTAGAGGAGGGGGTTTCTCAAGAGATTTCTACAGTGTTTTCTTACTTTTAATCTCTCTGTGCTTATGTATGTTAACCAGAGAAAAGAGGGGTATATATAGGCTTCAAGTTGATTCAAACTCGGAGCTTAAAAAGGCCTTATCCCATGTTTCCTGGGTACTAGTCGTACCACCGTCGTTCCTGGGCGGTACTACCACCGTAGGATCTGCCACTGGCCAGTACCACCACCTGACAAGGGCTGTATCACCACTGGCAGCATTATTGCCGGCGGTACCAACACCTAGCTTGGGCAGTACCATCGCCCAGAATACCTGCGGTGCTGTTCCCCAGGCGGTGCCACTGTCAGCCAAGGTTTCAGCACCCTAGGCCTTGAATCCGGCCCAAACCAGTCCAACTTCGGGCCTAGTTGGCCCCTAACAGAGTTGATGAGATTACCTCCCAATCTTAACTCTAATTATGTGCTAATTATGATTCCTAAGACATAATCTAAGCAAGATAAGTCGAGTTTCTTCCGGCAAGCTTCCGATGATCTTCCGGCGAACTTCTAATGATCTCTCGGCAATGTTCCAACGGTCTCCCGGCAAGCTCCTGAACTTCATGAAAATCTTCTTGGCGAGTTCTAATGAGCTTCTTTGGCAAGCTCCTGGACTTCTCGGTTGGTTCCGACAGAACTTCCGACGAACGTCCGGACTTCCGACAAACTCTCGAACTCCCAACGAAATCACGTTCTTGACTCCAGGACTTCATTTTGCTTTATGCCTTGCTATCGTAGTTAATACTACACACACAAAAATATACTTCGATCTAGACAATTATTACAAAGCATGAATTATATTGTCCGACATATCATTTATCCATTGATGCTTCATCTGATTCTTCGGCGCATCGTCTGATCTTGCGGCCTATTGCCCAATCAACCAGTTAATCTCTGTAACTCCAATATCCTTGGCGCAATATCCGCTCTTCTTGGCTTGATGACCGAATCCATGGCTTGAAGCCTTTTGTCAATACGTCGACCGATCCTCTGGCCCGACGCCCAATCTTCTGACACATTTTCCTCCGACCCAACACGATTCTTCCTACTTTAATTGTCTCTCCCTGATCGAAGCATCCTGCGTCACTCAAAATGCAGATCAAATCATAAATACTATCAATTGGTTTCATCATCAAAATCTGAGATTCAATAATCTTTCCCTTTTTGATGATGACAACCAATTGATGACGGAGTACGGAGTTAACCTTAACTCCTGGAGTTTAAACAAACTCTTCCTATCAATATGCCATATTGATATAACTTTGAATTCAAGCTGAATTCAAGTCATTGCAAATTTCATCATGAATATTTGCAACACGTCATCATACATAATATGATCATACTTACCCCCCTTTGTCATTAACAAAAAGGAGAACTTCCAACTATCAAGTGTTTGAGATATAAGTTTAAATCATTGCATGAAAAACATAATATCAAGTTTTATTATCATGCAATTTGTAAACTAGAAAATTTAGCAAGTGTTACATCATACAAGCTATTAAGTTTTAGATATACAAGGTAATAAGATAGCAAGTTTACAACATACAAGCTAGTAAAAATTTCGAAAATAAATGCAAGATAGCTTTCTTGTTGAAGTGTGTAAGCGAGCGATTTTTGCTTCCTATTGCAATGTGCAAGTTGCAAGTTTTGCTTCTTGAGATTGGCAAGATGGTGATATTTAAGATAGCAAGCTCTTTCTTCTCTTTTGAGAAGTGCCATTTTTGCTTCCTTTGCAAAGTGCAAGCTAGCAAAATTTTATATTATTTTATAACAATCAAGCTAGCAATTTGGCAAGTGTTACTTCTTTTTGAAGTATGAAGGCTAGCAAGTTTTTGAAAAATAATGCAAGATAACAAGCTAGCAAGATATAATGTTTTACATGAAGCAAGCTACATGAAGTACGTTTGCATCTTCTCTTTAGATGTGCAAGCAAGCAAGCAAGTTTTTGCATCTTCTTGACTTATGCAAGCTAGCTAGCAAGCTAGTTATCTCCCCTTTTGTCATTGTCAAAAAGAAGGGAAGAATATAATTTTGTATCTCTTTTTTCCTTTACAATAATTTTCAAATTATGACAAAGGATGAATAATCAAAGATGAAAAATTAAGTTATGAATGCCAAAACAATTTTTCATCATGAATATTTTATCATTGCATGCATCATTATCATAAGTTGAAGTATTGCATGCATAATATCAAATCATCATTCATAATTACATTAATATTTTAATCATTATTTTAATATGTTTATGCATCATTATATTTTCAATTTATAATATGCACAATTTTAAAAATTTACATATCATCCTTACTCTATGCATGATACTAA